AACATCCCTAACGGGCAACAGTCCCCCATCCTTCTGATCAATGGACATCCCCCCCTTCACCGACCTTCCCCACGAGGACGTCTTCGTCTTCCTCGACAAACTCTACGACACCTTCTCCCTCCACAACCTCCCTGTCACACACTGGCTCCCTATTGCCAGCACCAGGTTACAGGAAGGCGCCGCTCGTTGGTGGTACACCGAACGAGCTAACTGCCAACAAGCAAACGCAGAACCCCATTTCTTCCTCGAGTGGGGCAATCTCATCACCCACGCATTCCGACCGCAAGAGACAGTCGATGACTACTTTAAGCAACTCTGTCGCCTTCGACAAAACAGCCCAACCGACCGTTTTGTCCAATACGTTCGTGTGTTGTGGGAACACATCCCCCTTGACTACATCAGCGATGCTGCGGCATCTCCCACTTCAAACGGGGATGCCGCAAGGACCTCGCTACCTCCCTCCTCCACGGCCCCCAAATGTACCTCTCCGATCTCTTCAACCACGCCATCCACCTAGATAAATTCCTCACCCCGTACAAGGACGCACTCACATCCGCCCCACCCCGCTCATGATTCTTTCATAACATCACCTACGAAACCTCTCTCTCTGCCTCCTTGGACGAGTTCTCCATCCCCGACCCCAACACCCTCTCCGACCCACTAGACACCACATCGCTCTCCTCCGATGAACTCTCCGCCATCCACCTTATGCAGATGGAAAAGAGAGGACGCACCAGCCGTCCTCCCATAAACACCCACCCAACCCATCTCATGAAACTCACGTCGGAGGAGCGAACCTACCTCCAAGCTAAGGGTGGATGTTTCCGGTGCCGACAGTTAGGACATCAGCAGACAAGCTGTCCAAATACTAGGCAGTTCACATGTCAGGCACCCAGGTCCACGGCTCCCCAACCCGCCGCTTCCCCATCCGGCACTCCCGTCCCCTCCTCCACTTGAACACTGTCCCCATATTCACCACAAACTTGCCCCGGCATCAACGACTAGTCTGTCGACCATCCCGTCGGTGACGATCTCCACCCCACTGGTGGCCCATTTGGCATCGACAATATGTCTGCCTCCCCCCTCTCCGGTGCCGCACATCCCACGGGACGACCCCCAAGCGTCGCAACCCTCGTCGCCTGGCGGCCCCCTCATTGCCACATGTTCCTCAACCCTCCTTCCAAATCCATCCTCTGTCACCTTCTTTGATGTTGTTAAGGAACAAGCCCGACACGATCAGCTTGTCCGATTAGGCAATGAACAACGCCGCCTCAACACCATTATCTCCACCGCCAAGTCATCACGCTTCCACCTCAAATTCATCACCGCCACCCTTGGTGCGTCTACGACTAAGTTATGGGCCCTCCTCAACATTGGAGCCACCGTTACCCTGACGCGTGTGTCCGAAAGTCGGTCTTACCTCCATCGGCAGTTACGACTCCCCGATTACGATTCGTTTAGGGGACAAAGACACCGCCGTCGTAGTAGACCGTACGGTTCCCGGGACCACCATGACTGTTGGAACCCTCCACAGTCAGGTCTCATTCGATGTCATGCACTTAATGTGCGATATCGTTTTGGGAACACCGTGGCTAGACCGCTACATGCCATACACGATCCACCCCAATTTCCTCCGCCTTACCAACCCCCGTGACACAACCATCGACATTCCCCATCTCCCCTATCCCAGCTCCCCAAGCTCTGTCACCCCGCACCAATTCCTTCACATGGCTCGCACGAACCCTGACTCCACCTACTATTGCCTTGTCATTGATCGCGAGCGTTCTGAGGACTTGCTCCCAACGGGCAAATCCGACCAAGCGCCCCCCTCTGACCCCGCCCTCACCTCCATCCTCGACGAGTTCAAGGACGTCTTCCCCGAGTCCTTGTCTGTCGGATTACCTTCGGAATGTGGCGTATCCCACACCATCGATTTGGAGCCCGGTCACTCTCCACCTTGCAGCCCTCCATACCAACTCTCCGTTCCGGAAGTCGAAGAAATGAAGCGGCAACTCAATGAACCCCTGGAAAAATGATTCATTAGGCCGAGTTCATCCCCCTTCAGCACAAGCTGCCTTTTCGTAAAGAAAGGCAAAACATCGGAACTTCGGATGTGCACAGACTATTGCGCCTTGAACCGGATCACGATCAAGAACAAGTACCCCCTACCTCGGATCTCCGAGCTTCTCGATCGACTCCGTGGAGCCAAGTATTTTACCAAGATCGACCTCCGCAGTGGCTTCTACCAGATCCGCATCTGCGAGGAGGATACCCACAAAACCACCTTTCGTTCCCGATTAGGGCACTACGAATTCCTCGTGAGGCCCTTCGGACTCACGAACGCCCCCACCATATTCCAATCTACAGTGAATCACATCTTCTGCGACCTCCTCGAAGTCTATGTCGTCATCTACCTCAATGATATCCTCGTCTATAGTCCCACCGTCGAGTCCCACCTTCAGCATCCCCGCCAAGTCCTCTCTATCCTCAAAGAGCAAAAATTTTACGCCAAGCTCAACAAATGCACCTTTGTCGCGTCAAGCATTGAATACCTTGGCCACATCATCTCCGCTGAAGGTATCCGCATAGACCCCTCGAAGGTCACCGCAATCGTCGAGTATCCACCACCCAAGACCCTACTCCAACTTCAATCATTTCTCGGCCTTGCCAACTACTACCGCCCCTTTATTTGCAACTTCTTCGACATCTCGTACCCCCTCCACGAACTCACCCGCAAGGACAAACCCTTCATTGGAACGACCGCCGCCAAAACGCCTTCGATGCCATCAAACAACTCATCACCACTGCCCCCGTCCTCAAGATCGCCGACCCCACTCGCCATTTCTACGTCACCACCGACGCCTCCGACTTTGCCATTGGAGCCTTCCAGTCCCAACATTTTCCTTGTGACACCACCGAAACTCCCTCCATCAAGGAATCCCCTACCCACCACGAGGCCCCACCTGGCAAATACCCCATCGCCTTCGCCAACAAGAAACTCCTTCCCGTGGAAATGAATTACCCCTCCAACGAGAAGGAGCTCCTCGCCGTGATCCACACCCTCAAAGTCTGGCGCCCATTCCTCGACGAACAATATTTCACCATCCGCACGGATAACACCATCGTCTCTTCTATCCTAACAAAGAAAGACATTACCTCACGACAAGCTCGCTGGTTAGACTTTCTCACCCAGTTCACCTTCACCATTTGCCATACACCCGGCAAAAGCAACCATGTTGCCGATGCCCTCTCCCGGCAGTGCCGGCACCTCGATCACAAACCCCCTGAGAAAGTTTACCCCACAATGACACATCCAACTCCTCCACCATCGCTACATCCAAGGCTATCTCTCTTGCCCAGACTTCGCAACCATCTACAACAAGCTTTGTGACCTCAACCCTGTCCCCAACTACTCCCTCCATAACAATCTCCTTGACATCGATGCTAAAGGCACTCGCCGACTTCACATCCCTGACGCATGTGGTCTCTGTACCCAGCTCTTGGCCGAGCACCACGACGCCAAGACTGTCAGACATCTTGGGTTCCAGAAAACATTCGACACCATCTCCCGCTACTTTCATTGGCCTTCCCTACTCGTCGATATCAAAGCATGCATCCGCTCATGCCCCATGTATCAAGCCATCAACCCCTCAAACCGCACCAAGCCCTGCAAGGTACAATCACCTTCGATCCCCACCCACCGGTGGCAGTCCATCTCCATTATCTTCGTTTGCGGTCTCCCCAAGACCGACCGCGGACATGATTGCATCTATGTCATTGTTTGTCGCTTGACCAGACGCGCCCACTTCACCCTTGCACCACATCGCACAACGCCAAGGACGTCGCCATTCTCTTCTTCGACCATGTCGCACGCCATCACGGTCTCCCCGAGAACATCATCGACGACCGTGACCTTTGCTTCCTCTCACAATTCTGGAAACACCTCTTTAAAGCCTACGGAACCACGCTCAAGTATAGCACTGCATTCCACCCCCAGACCGATGGACAAACCGAGAAGATGAACGATACTCTCCAAAGAATCCCGCGGGAGTATTGTCGTCCACATCAACACGACTGGGATTAGTTGCTCACAACCGCCGATATCGCCTATAACAACGCCGTCGGCCCTTCCACTGGCATGTCCCCGTTCTACCTCGACCTTGGCTACCATCCTCGCTTGCCCTCCGACTTCTTGCTCCCTTCACAACTCAACCCCTCCACCCCCTGCCCTTCTCTCAATGAATGGGTAGCAACAATGAACAGACTCCTCAGAGAAGCTACTGAAGCCCTTGAACGAACACAAGAACAACAAACCAACAAGACTAACAAACACAGATGTGGCGTGTCATTAAGAAAAGGGGACAACGTCTGGCTCTCCGCCAAACGCTTTGAACCCGAACATGGATTGTCCAAGAAACTCTCGAACAAGTGGCTCGGACCCTTCCCCATCATTGAACAGACCTCCTCCGTCAACTACAAACTCCAACTCCCCCCTGACATGAGTCGCGTCCACCCTGTCTTCCACGTAGAATACCTAAAAAATTACAATGAATCCCCACCCCAATTCGCTGACCGCCCATATCCTAGACCTCCACCAATCATGTTACCCACAGGCCCTGAATTCGTCGTCGAAGCCATGATAGGACGAAGAACTACTCAGGTATCTGACCACCCTGAACCAATCACAAAATACAAAGTTAAATGGATAGGATACCGTGACCAAGAATCCACATGGGAACCTCTTGCTAACCTTAAGAATGCCATGAAACTTGTTCACGCCTATGATTGCGCCCATCCCATATCCTAGCTACCCACTATACCTAAACCCTGCCTAAACCCCGCCTAAACCCTACCTCAACCTTGCCTCCCTGCACTACACACAGCCCCTGTACCCAGCCAAAACCTTGCCCCTTGACCTCCCTCTGTCTGATCCGTCCTTGCCTCCGTCTCGCCCCGTTTTCCCATTTGTCCTCTGCCACATCTCTGTCCCTCTTGTCCAGGTCCTACATGTGGGCCCTGTGCGTCGCCGGTGATAACGGATCTAATGGTAAGCGCACGAGGACGATGGCATGCTGCAGCTCAGTACGAGGAGATAAGACAGCTCGTTGGCCACCATGCTGTTCCCTTTGGCCGGCATCTTGGACCCGCAGACCTCTGGAGCAGCACCTCTGACATGGACATCAAGATCAGTCTGCGACCTGCTATCCGGATCAGACCTCATCATCAGATCGTGTACCGAATGCAACCTGCTACTGGGACAATCAAGCTGAAGTCCTCGCCGCCTACATCACAGAACCGCTGAAGACTGCTTCATCACCGACACTTCTGCGACACCCTCCAAGACCTTCCTCAAGACATTCTTCACATTTTGACACTTTGTTACCAACCTGAGACGTTGTTTTCCCGGATCCCCTCGGACACCCCAACACTTTAGCATTAAACAAACAATTGTTTTTATTTTATTCTTCTTTCTCTCAAACCTGGCAACCTATAACCCTGTAGAACATCAATAGGATTACCCTGTTACCTGACCATTGCTACCCTCACCCTTGTAGAACCTCAATAGGATTACCCTGTTACCTGAACATTGCTACCCTCACCCTTGTAGAACCTCGTTAGGATTATCCTCTCACTTGAGCATTGATTCCTTCATCCCTGTAGAACCTCAATAGGATTACCCTGTTACTTGAGCATTGATTCCCTCATCCTTGTAGAACCTCAATAGGATTACCCTGCTACTTGCACTACTCCCCCTTTCCTTTCAGACCAGTGATCGGCCCTGTCCCGTCCTTCACAGTTGTTCATTGGGTCTTTGGCAGCCGGGACGTTGCCTTCCAGAGGGAGGGATAGTGTTACAGACTCAGCCAGGGCTCGATCCCTGGTCCGCTGGTTACCACCCGCCAGGCTGCTATTTTTTTCATTTTTTTTTTTGGTTTCTGATCTCCGGTTCCTGACTGTTGGCGCCCTCTGCAGTTGGCGCCCGTTCTCAACTTCCTCCTCTGGCACTTTCGGATTTTGATACTTGGCGCCATGCACTCTGGCGCCCAGGCTCAGACCATCGATTTTGAGTTGAGCCCCGAGGCAAATTGCACTTCTGCCCCCGGGACTCAACTTTAGTCCGATACTTAAGACCAGACTCAAGCTCAGTTCGGCATTCAGTTTTCAGCCTCAGTGCTTGTGCTTCAGTGTGACTTGCTGCGACATTGTGTTTGGAATCCAAGATTGCGACTTTGCCACTTTCTGTCCACATCCATCGAGTCGTGTCGAGTCTGCGTCGAGTTGAGTGAGTGTGTGTGTGTGCTCTCACTCTCCCTCTCTCTCCCAGTCTCGCTGCTCTGCCTCAGCCCTGTCACAGATTGTGCTTTGAGAGTATATCCCTGGTCTAAAATTTCGAAATTCATGCTTTCATAGCGTGAACAGAGCACCGGTGTGACAGAAAGCGGGAGGGAGTGAGGGACGGATGGACGGATTAAGGAATAGAGGAATGGAGGGACGAAGGGACGGCGGGAGGGAGGGAGGGAAGGAGGGAAGGAGGGAGGGAGGGAGGGAGGGAGGGAGGGACGGTGTTACAGAGGCACAGAGGGATAAAGGGGCGTGGGGGGGAGGTACGGAGGGAGGGATAGAGGGAGGCGGGGGATGGAGGGATGGAGGGATGGAGGGATGGAGAGATGGATGGAGGGATGGATGGAGGGATAGAGGGATGGAGGGATGGAGAGAGATAGAGGGATGGACGGAGGGAAAGAGGACAGGGGGACAGAGGGAGAGACGGAGGGATGGAGGGATGGCGGGATGGAGGGATGTACGGACTGACAGAGGGACAGACGGACGGAGGGATGGACGGGGGGACAGAGGGACGGACAGAGGGATGGATGGAGGGAGGGAGGGACAGAGGGACGGAGGGAGGGAGGTACAGACGGAGGGATGGAGGCAGGGATGGATGGACGGTTGCAGGGATGGATCTCCCCCAGCCTTTGCCACGTGGTAATTTCCCCAAATCTTTGGCTGATGTTGAGCGGAGTTGCTAATGCCACTAATTCCACATGATGGTTTCCAAACAAGGAAGGGGGGGAAGGGGGAAACTTGTGACAATGCAATGATGGAAAGACTGGATGGCGGGCTCAGGAGGGAGAGCAGGACGGATTGTCAAGCTGAGAGAGAGAGAGAGAGAGAGAAGTTTGTCTGCAACTCAAATGCGACATTGATTTGTCACAGTGCAATGGGGAGAACGCGTGCAAGAGAGAGAGAGAGGGCAATAGGTTGAGGCACCCCCCTGCTGCTGGCTTGAAGATGAAGGCAAGCGCAATGGCTTGAGGTGATGAGAGACTTTCTGAGGACGACGGCTTGAGGTGCTGCTTCGCTTGTGTGCAAAAAGAAGGGAGGCAGCCCTTCGCATTAGAAGCCTGCTTTCTCTCAGCCACCCTTCCAAAATGGCAGCCGGTGCTTTTGTGAAAGCAAAAAGCTGAACGGGAAAATAAAAACAAAAGGGGTAAGTTCAGCTGTGGCGCAAACAAGTTTGGAAAGGGCAACAAAATCACAAGCGGCAACAAACTTGCGCACCATGTTTGAAAGGGCAAAAAAAGCATTTTTACCCGGGCGCCGAGTTTGAAAAGGGGAACAGACTGGCTCACTGAGTTTGAAAAGGGCAACAAAATCACACGCGGCCACAGCCATTTTTACTGATATTGCCGTTTTCAAACTCCGCACCCAACCCTGTTGCCCACACGTGTTTTCTTTTCGCCCTTTGGACACCTAAAGTGTGACACTACCGGACTTGTTTCAAAACAAAAGGTCTCTTTCTGGCCCTGTGTGGATGCCAGAAAATCCGGGCTGGATTTTCTTGCAGAGTGGCAATGGCCCGGGTCGCAAAGAGACACCCTGGGCTGACGAAAAGTAAAAGAAGTTTGAACTCCGACAAGGGTTCTGGAATCCGGACGGGGATCTGCGCCCCAGGTCTGGACACCGGACTCCGATCACTTGGGATCCCATTCAGCATGTGCGGATCGCTGCCATGGTACATTCAGTAAGAGCTAACAGTCTAGCACTAAGGGCATACTCATTCGCGGACCTAAAGTCGGAAACATCTGGGACATTTGGTACCATGTATTTGCTCTTTTTGGTGCCCATACACACACACGTTCTGTGTCCACAAAGGACACAGTCGGGGCCCTGACATTTGCACCTCCCAGGAAGTGCACGTAATCACACTGCTTACCCCAAAAAATATATAGAGGTTTTTTTTTTTTTTTTTTCAAAGCGGAGGTAATACATGCACAAATTTCTTGAAATACCTCACGGCAAAAGAAAAAGTTGAAAAGGTAATTTGCCCACGGTCCCACAGGCTGCTGACAAAAGGGTCACCAAAAAGTACATTTGGGTAGTGGGCCTCTCCAATGTGACCCGAAAACTGCCTCAAATTTTGGGATTTAAGGTCATCCGGTCCCCGTGTGAGTATGCCCTAACACCTCAAGACAGGTTTAAAGGACACAGTCACACAGTCCTTAAATTGTAGTTTGTGGCCACAAATAACAAGAGCAAGTTGTGAACTCCATCCATAGCAATGAAAGTCTATGATAATAAAAAAGAGAAAAATGTTTCTGGCTGATGATCCTTCCTCTGTGTCGATTGTTTTTGTGTAAAAACGGTTGCTTGAATATGCTTGTCGTGACAAGGTTGCGGGCGCATCAGAGGAGAATGCAAACCATTCAGCCAAGGCAGTCATTGCTCACATTTTCAGGGAGATCGTCAGATTCAAGAAAGTCAACCCAGACAACATACCCTCTCCAAGGCTGACTGGTTGAGATAAGGACCACGGCGGACACTTTTTTGCCTACCGTCTTCACCACCCGAATAGAATGTCTGGTCATTATAACTGTATTTTGGGTAGCTTTCAGTCCAGATAGAGCTATAATGACGGGCATTCTATTCGGGTGAAGACGGTAGTCCCTTGGACCAACAATCAAACTGCCACAGAACAGATGTTTCTCTGATTCCGTCAATACTCGCAGTCACCCAATTGTCGGGAGGCAGTGGCGAAGTCCTCTCTCCTGCTCTCTTGGACTTCTCCCTGCAGAGACAAATGGAAACCCAACCTAGGCCCTTAGTGCATAATATATTGACACAGTATCATTTTCGGCTTGGATCTCACCCTTGGTTTCACAGGGCGTATTCACACAGTATCCCTTTCGACTCCCATCTTGCCCTTGGTTTCACACAGGGCATATTCACACAGGGTGCAGTCACACAGTATCCTCTTCGACCGGGATCTTGCCCTATTTTTGGTCAGCTACAACAATGGAAGTGCTACTGGGAGTATGCCCTTGGTTTCACGGGTGTGAACATCTGTGCCACCCAACTCCAAACTCTGTTACATGAAACCCGTATGCAGTCTCGAAAGTATTTCTCAGCGTGGTTTTCACCACATTCGGCTTGTCGCATTAGCTGATCTTCTTTTTTTTTTCCTTCCTTTGTTTAGAGGGCGACGTCCTTGAGATATTCATGAGTGTACCAACAGAGCTAGGCTCATAGCCTGATCATAAAGAGAACAATTTCTTTGTTTTTTTTGACTCCGTCCAAATCTGGATGTGCTGCATGTGCATGGTCAAGGATTCTTGGGACTACTTTGGCAGGTACAAAGGGCCTCGCTCCACTACTCACCGCATGCACAAAAGACAAAAATTATGGTGGTGTATCTATCCATGTTACAGCGGGAAATTCATTCTCATTTTGCACAATTTTATGGTGAGAAGTGGAGTGAGGCCCAAAGTCTTCATAATTTCATGTCCATTTGTGTGGGCCAACCAATCAACATTGGTCTTCTGAGACTGAGATTGTCAGGCTTCTTCGTAGCATCAAAACTCAAAAGGAATAACTGAAAGAAGTTCAAAGAGGGAATTGTTCTAAGATTAGGAGGCCAGAATAGCTGATATAGCATATTTTTCTTTAATTTGTCATATTTTTGAATCATCATTCTCATTAGCATCATTAAAAAAAAAAAAAAAAAAAAAAAAAAAAAAAAAAAAAAAAAAAACCTTTTAAAAAAAAAAAAAAAAAATCCTTTTGAAAAAAAAAAAAAAAAAAGAGAACCAATGCGAGGTTGCCAGCAGGAGTGGTTCATGAATTTTCATAGCATTTTCTGAAAATTTATCAACCGAAGGTTGGGTAGTGGCTTTGGTATATTCAAATTTCAAAACCATGTTCATTATTGTAATCTCATTATAACAGACGCTGGGCCCGGTTCTCAGCACGTGCTGCTCCCCACAAATAGATCGGGCTTTAATAAAAAAAAAACAAAGAAATAACTCTGCGGGAGGGCGGTGTTGAGTTTTGAATTCGCAGGAATCACAGGGCACTGCAGGTCTGGGCCGAGGGCAGTTGAAAATGCATAAAACGAACAGCTTTGTGCACCTTTTTTTTTTTCTTTTTTTTTTCACTCAACACAGGGCCCCTTCCATTCTGGGGGGCAACGGTCCAGTTGCTTATCACCGGCAAGCATGAAACATTTACAATTTTACAATGTTTATAAGCAGAGGATAGCCTTACCTTTGCGGTTCGGGACACCAAACGAGGGAGCGCTGTCAGTAGCTCTGCTCCCTCCAAAGCCCGTTCTCCTCTGATGGCTCCTCTGTTAGCCGGGAACTCTCAAGCGGTACCCAGGCGCATAGCAGAGGGGTTCCCTAGGACAGCGGGTCCAAGGGGCAGAGCAACTGGTAGCCTCCTTTGCCCACGTGCTCTAATGAGCGTTGCAGTATCCATAATCCTATTCCAAGCACTCTTGTTGTTAATTACCTACCTATGTCACAAATCACCTTCACCTGTTAGACCTAGGTGAAAGGATACCCTCGGTTCCATATTACCCTTAATAATCTAATCCGTAACGTTCCTCAAACCATTACAGACTAAAACTATTCGGAAAAAAAGGGCAAATCATGCCCGGTTACTAGCCAATCCCATTACCTCAACAGCTACAAACGTATGGAGTAGTCAGTTTATTAACTCTACTCTCATACTGCATTGAGTGCAGTAATGCAATCTACCTAGTGATTACTCAGTTTATTAGTTCTGCTCTCAAATTGCCTTTCGCATAGTAATGCAATTTTGTCAAACATCACACCCAACCTTAATCCTATTGACCATAGTGATCCCCAGCATTTTCATTTTTCCCCCAGCGGAGCTGGTTTTTGAAGAAGGGGACCAATGTTATGATTCTGGTTGTTTGTTGTCTGAGACCAACACTCGCACACATAGACTTCCAGGTATGCCCATACATACACAGAAGGAAGGGGAGAGGATAGGAGTATCACACCGCACAGGGAGAGATAAACACAGCGGAAGACTTGACCATGCGATATGACAGGGTACATTGAAACTGCAATTCACTCCACTCAATCCTCACAACCAGTCATAAAGAAAAGCCGAGTAGATCACATCCAGGAAACAATGAAACGATGATAGTCCAAACCCAGTATTACACTGTTTATTAAACTCAGAGTCTCAAATTGTCGGAATAACTTCAGACCCACAGTGCGCTGCTCAGGAATGAGCAGCGCTTCACTCCCCAACCCTGAGTAACCACTCGTGACACCCCTGAGCCCCTGAAACATCAAGCGCCACCCAGATACAGCCTCCAACGGGAAGCGCCACCCTGAAACAGGCCTCCGAGGCCAAGCGCCACTCAGAAGATGAAGAAGAAGACCAGCGCCACAGTATCTGATGATGACGAAGTGTCGGAAGACTTCCCCGATGGAAGTCTGCAGCAGCGCCACCAAATCCTGACAAGATGACCTCTGAGAAAGAAGCTGCAGCAATGGCTGCAGCGCCACAACCGTGGAACCCCACTCCGGAGGAGGGTCCAGGAGGGCACCAACTTCCCTCGCCTCCAGCAGACCTCAATACCCCAGACCTCTGACAGCCCCTACATGCTGGCAGAGTACAGCGCAGGTCCCAGCTATGGCCGGCGCTCCGAAGGTCTGGCTATGCCTGTCTCCTTCCGCGCTGAGCTGTCACCACTTCCGGTTCACTTGTAGCGCAGCAGCGA